TGTTTACAGTAAAAGAATTACGCTGTCAAATAGCTGCGACATCGTTTTCAAGATCTAAAAATGTTATCCCACTTTTGCCACTACAACTTTGCCAAAACGTCACAATTATGCTGTGACAATGTTATTGCAGACGTTTTAAAGCTTCATCATGGCTATGATGATCTCTTTACAGCAAAATATAGTTGTACAGCCAAATGGCTACGATATCGTTTTTAAAGCCTAAATATGTTGTCCCACTTTTGCTGTTACAACTATACCAAGACGTTACAATGATGATGTGACAGTAGCTGTGATAGACAAAAATGCTGCGGTTTAAAATGCGACAACGTTGTCGCAGACGTTTTATAGCTTCATGTGCTACTTGGGGACGATCGATAAAATCACGTACCTTGAATCGTTTGCGTGTTAACAGAATGGTTGCAACCAACGACTGTAATATTGCTGCTGGGATCATTTCGATTCTCCTCCTTTGTGTTCGCTATGATTGCCGAGCAATCCTGACTTAACGCGTCGCCAAAGCCGGCTATATTCTTATTCGCGCTGCGCAATCTGTCCGTCTGTAACATATTATCTATCCGATGCTCTACGTAATCCGCGGTCGATGAATTCTTTTTTATTCTGTGAATATACGTTTATTAATAAAATTTTTAATTGTTAGAATCATTTGAGTAATTCCGGAAGCGTTGCAAGATCAGTTTTCAAAATGTAAATCAATTTAACTTTATGTTTCAAGTGAATTTACATTTCGAAGATTGAACTTGCGGAACATTTAAAACACCCGTATTCTCGTCGTCTTACTCTAACTGCGTGCTATAACTTTGGCATTTGCAAAATCCTAGAAAATAGGCGAGCACAGCGACCTGTTGATTGCCTTCCAAAAGATCAAACGGTGTCTTGTTCTTATTGTTTTTGACTTGCATAAGAAGTTTGCAGCTTCTGTCCGCGCTTATTAAGAAACAAGCTAATGCTAATTCAGTCTGTGCGCCTTGTCTTGCCAGGTTCTGCCAAATCTACCCAAAAGAAAAAATTTTTCATTAAAAAAAAGTAAGAAATTATGATCCTTTTTTTCATACCCTTTTTATATTTTTAAGCCTTAATATATAAAACATGTACATATACATATGTACGTGTATATAGGATTGGTTTACATAACACTCATTGTCAGGCAACATACAGCATATATAAGTGGTGAATCTCGGCTATTTTCGGGAGTAGGCACTACAATCTGTTGATTCGGGCTGTTGGCAGTGCAGCACGCGATATGCAGCACAGTGTTACCGTCCTTGTCTATGCTGCTGACGTCCGCATTATGATGCAGCAACAGTTCGACGAGCGGCCAGTATCCCTGCGAAGTCGCTAAATGCAATGGCGTTTGTCCTTGATTGTTGCGCAAATCGACCAGAGCGCGGCCGCCATTCTGCGAGAGGAGGATGGCCGCTATTTCTCTGTGTCCGTTCAATGCCGCTAA